CTGCATCGATCTGGACCGTTCATCGCGATTGATCTCCTTCGTCTGATCGCATCTAAGGAGACAAGGAATCTGAACCATTTATCGTGATTTGATCTCGACCGTCCGATAACACTTAAAGGAGAAATAAATTCAAGTCGTCCGCGTGCGCAGGATCAATCTTGGGTCGTCTGATCACGCGGCACGCGGGTCGCCCGCGTGGCCTCCAGCGTGGCACTGGCATTAGTGTACCTTCCCACGCGGAATGCTCTGGTTCGTCGGAGCTGCTGACTGGGCGGTCCTACGTGGCCGAACTTTTTTTTTGTACTTTAACCCCCTATTTCTAATTTTTTTTAAAAATACCCCCCAACCCAAATTTTTACCCATTTTTTCTAAATTTTTTTCAATTATATTCCTATATATTTTGTTTTCAACAATTAAATAAAATTGAATAGAAATTAATTTATAATTTATTTTTTATTTATTTTAAAATATCAAAATTGATCATAGGCCAAATTTAAGACACGGGTATTACAATTCTCCCCTCCCCCCTTTAAGAAGAAATTTGGTTCTTCAAATTTGTCACCATCTCACTTAGTCAAATAGTTGGGGATACTGGACTCTGAAGTTTAATTCTAGCTCCCATGTGGCATTTTTTGTGTGTGATTCTACCATAGGAGCTTGACGAAAGAAATTTTTTTGTTGCGGAGTACTTTACTTTTTCAGTCTACAATACCCACTAGTACCTTCTCATAGGATAGATCATCCTAGAGTGAAGGAGGCTCGTGGGACAAGATGTGTGAGAGGTCTGAGTTGTACTTGCATAGCATAAACACATGAAACACATTATGAACCCTGGATAGCTCTGGAAGTAGTGTCAGTTTGTAGGCGACCGTATCAATTCTGTCTAAGATCTCAAATTGCCCAATGAACTGGAGATTTAATTTCTCTCTCTTGCCAAACCAACTGATTCTCTTGAAAGAGGTGACCTTAAGGAACACTTGATAACCTTTCTCAAATTCCAAATCCCTTATCTGGGTGTCCGCATTGCTCTTCTGCCTACTCTGAGTTGTTTGAATGTTTTTTCTAATCTTAACTATCTTGGCTGTCGTCTCTTCCATAAGATCTGAGCCGAATAATTTTTTATTATCCACTTCTTCCCAACAGATCAACGATCTACATAAGCGGTCATACAATGTCTCATACAGAGCCATGCCGATATTTGTCTAGTAGCTGTTATTGTTGGTGAACTTTATTAAAGGTAAGTGATCATCCCAAAGGCCCCCGAAGTCTAGAACACAAGCTCAGAGCATAATTTCGTTCTCATGACTTGCTAAAAATTAGATCAAAATCGAGAAGTTAACCTGGGGTCTCTGTCAGATACTACTGTCACTAGCACTCCATATAACCTGACTATCTCCCGGATATATATTATTGCTAGCTTATCCAAGGGGTCGATCATCTTGATAGCCAAGAAGTGAGAAGACTTGGTGAATCGATCGACAATTACCCAAATAATATCATGTCATGAGCGTGCCCTAGGCAACCCTGTTACAAAACTCATTATGATATGTTTCCACTTTCAATCCGGGATTGGTAATAGCTGAAGTAGCCTACCTAGGCGTTGATGTTCTACCTTAACCTATTGACATACTACACACTTAAAAACAAAGCTAGCTACCTCTGTTATAATGTCCCTTTTCAGTTTACTATCACCTAGAACACACATCATGTCCTGAAATCTGAACAATCCATCGATAGAGACTCAAAATTCTAAATTTACTCCCTATTCTACATCTTTCCTGAGAACTACTAGGGTGGAATCGGTAGATTGAGCTTCTTTTATTCTTTTGATCAATTCTAGTTAAACAGTCAGGTGGACCAAATATATAACTCTCTTCAAATTCTGAAGTCGTATCTATTGTGCGGCCCCTATTACCCTGCATTATGAAATTATTAGGTGAGTCAACATACCTGTACTTTTTCTACTGAGCGTGTCGGCTACCATATTGCCCTTGTCTGGTCGATACAAAATATTGCAATCGCAGTCTTTGAGGAGCTCTATCCAACGCATCTGATACATGTTGAGATCCTTCTGAGTGAATATATACTTCAAGCTCTTATGATCGGTATAGACATCAAAAGTCTCCCCATACAAGTAGTGGCCTCAGGTCTTCAAAGCGTGAATAATAGCGACAAGTTTTAAGTCGTGGGTGGGGTAGTTTTTCTCATGACTTTTCAACTGGCTGAACTCATAGGCTATGACTTTCTCATACTGCATCAGAACGCAACCCAACACTAGGTAGGAGACATCACTATAAACTGTATATCTATCTATTCCACTCGGTAAAGCCAACACGGGTGCAGTAGTTAACCGCTTCTTCAATTCTAAAAAGCTCTTTTCATAGTCCTAATTCCACTCAAACTTAACGTTCTTCTTTGTGAGCTGGGTCAAAGGAGCGATTAGGCTAGAAAATCCTTCTATAAACCTGCGGTAATAATCTGTCATTCCTAGGAAGTTACAAATCTCCTTGATCGAGGTTAATTTCTCCTAACCAAACACTGCCTCAATCGTTTTGGGGTTCACTAACACTCAATCCCTTGATATGATGTGCCTTAAGAAGATAGTCTACTCGAGTCAGAATCTACACTTACTCAACTTTACATACAACTTCTTTTCTTTAAGAACCTATAAAACCTGAGTCAAGTGGTG